AGTATGTAGTGTCTCTACTTTAAAGAGTCCTCTCCTGTGATGTCACTAAGTTCCTGAAGGAGTCCAATGGAGGCATCTCAAGCAGAAACATGCATGCTAATGAACTGGATTCTGAGTCTGAGAATGTACAGATATTATTATAAACAGCAGTGAGCCGTTTCTCTCCTGTATGAGGAAATGCTCACACTCTGTACAGCTGTGTGTGTGTGTGTGTGTGTGTGTGTGTGTGTGTGTGTGTGTGCGTGTGCGTGTGTGTGTGTGTGTGTGCGTGTGCGTGTGTGTGCAGTAATGTGAATCGCCTGTTGACGAGCAGCAACAGGACTCGGGCCCCGGGGCCTCTTTGTTGGTAAATTAATTGTTGGGCTGCTTTTACAAATCGCTGCTCTTTCATGCATGGCTGCTCCTGAAAGGGAGGGGCGGGGAGGAGGGGGGAGGGGGCTGCTAAAGAGCCCCTCTTTAGTAAAAGAGAGGAGGGGGGAGAGTGTGTTTGGAGTGTGTGTGTGGAGTGTGTGGAGTGTGTGTTCTCCTGGGGGAGACGCCGCCGCTCATTCCTCCCTCTCTCTCTCCTCAAGACTCACCCGACTTATCCCCTGTGGGACTCCCCCACCATGACTCACCCCCCAACCCCCCCTCCCCTCCTTTCTGCCACACGCCACAACTTGACCCATGCTTAGGAAGCCTGTGTGTGTGTGTGTGTGTGTGTGTGTGTGTGTGTGTGTGTGGGAGGGGGAGCGTGTGTATGTGTGTGTGTGAGTGTGTGTGGGGGGGTGAGCTTGTGTCGTGGTGTTTGCCACCTGCTGTCATACAATACCTTGGGAATTGTCTGTGTGTGTGTTTCTGTGTGTGTCTCCATGTGTGTGTGTGTGTGTGTGTGTGTGTGTGTGTTGTGTGTGTGTGTGTGTGTGTGTGTGTGTGTGTGTGTGTGTGTGTGTGTGTGTGTGTTAGATCCAGTGTCTGGCTTATTTATTTGTCTGCTGATGTTTCATACAGAGTTTTATTCAAATATTTAGTTTTCTGTGTGTGTGTTTGTTAGAGTGTGTGTGTGTGTTAGAGTGTGTGTGTGTTAGAGTGTGTGTGTGTTAGAGTGTGTGTTTGTTAGAGTGTGTGTGTGTTAGAGTGTGTGTGTATGTTTGCAGGGCTAGACATTATAAATGGCCCGCTGGCCCGGAAGCCCTATTTAGACCCCCCCGGGCAGCATAACGTACTTTCCACTTGCCCACTCGGGCCATTCAAAATATTGCTTAAAAAAAACTAAAAAAATCAGTAAGACATCAAATCACATGGTCCTGTGGTGTTGGTATTTTGAAAAGCTATTTTGTTAAATTGTTTAGTTTATTAACGCAACAACATAGCGTTTCGTGAGGCGGTTGTCGTTGTTGGGTGAAAAGCAAACAGCTGTTTGAGTAGAGCCCAGCGCGAGCAGGCTCCCGTGCGCTACAGACATTTGCCAAACCTTTTTTAATACCAGCGGTAACCGGCCAAGCGCCGGGCAAAAAACAATCTTCAAATAAAAGAATGTCACCGGAGGAGTTAAAGGAGAGTGACGGGGAGTGTGAGAAGAAGAGGGAGAGAAAGTTTCAGCCACACTGGCTTGATGGATGGAGTTGGCTTCAATATGATGATATAAACAAGGTCTTTAGTCGGCTCCGTACATCAATGCCGACCCATGCTGACAAGCAAGTGAAGAGTAGAAAATATAAAGGCATTGGCTTCAGGGAGATGTCCCAGCAGGAGAATCAGGGTTCTAATCTATTACATAGCCGTTACATCTCTACCTCCTGATGACAGGAAGGCAGAACGTGTATTATACAAATAATAATACTCATAGCAGAAATGTCACCCTCCTTTTCTTCTTTAACAATGACCACAATATAATTATTGTAATAAACCAAATATGAACAATTGAGGAACATGAGGAAGAACTGATGATTCAAATGTTGTAGTAAAGTAGTAATGTGTAGTTTGTGCATAAGTTACTACTGCAACAAATGTGTTCATTTTCTTCATTATTAGAGTCGATTTTTTGGACCCTTAATGTCTACCCCTGTGTGTGTGTGTGTGTGTGTGTGTGTGTGTGTGTGTGTGTGTGTGTGTGTGTGTGTGTGTGTGTGTGTGTGTGTGTATGCGTGTGTCAGATCCAGTGTCTGGCTTATATATACTTTTTTTCTACTGATGTTTTATACAGAGTTTTATCAAAATTGTTAGTTTTCTGTTTGTTTCAGTGTGTGTGTGTGTTTGTGTGTGTGTGTGTGTGTGTGTGTTTGTGTGTGTGTTTGTGTGTATGTTTGTGTGTGTGTATGTTCGTGTGTGTGTGTGTGTTTGTGTGTGTGTTTGTGTGTATGTTTGTGTGTGTGTATGTTCATGTGTGTGTGTGTGTGTGTGTGTCCTGCAGTTATTTATTAAAATAGTTAGTTTTCTGTTAGTTTTCTATTTGTTTCGGTGTGTGTATGTTCGTGTGCGTGTTTCTGTGTGTGTGTGTGTGTGTGTGTGTGTGTGTGTCTGTGTGTGTGTGTGTGTGTGTGTGTGTGTGTGTGTGTGTGTGTGTCTGTGTGTGGGCTGATTCCTGGGGGAGCCATCCTACAGGAGGCTGTGATACGACTTGTCAAGCGCAGGATATGAGTCCCTGGAGACGGGGGAGACGGGGGGGGTCGGAGGGAGAGCGAGGGAAGACGGATGATGGAGGCGGAGGGTCTGAATGTGTGTGAGTGTCGGGGGACTCGGGGGTCCCTGCTGTTCGGGACACAAGCTGTCCAACAGTCAGAGGAGGGGGCCGTCAACACAAACAAAAGACAGTGATTTAACAAAGTGGGCTGTTAATGACGGCGCTGCGCCTCATCAAGCCATATCAACACGGGGGGGGGGGGGGGGGCAACGCTCTGGAGCTGCTTAACACTGAAGCTGAAGCTGATACAGGAAACAGAGAAACTTTCAACGCAGAGCAAAGAAAAGTAAGAAAATGAAGGAGAAACTGTTCAGATGCAAAAAGGAAAGATGTGAACAGGCCATGAGACTTTTGAAAGAACATCCATAACATTCATCTGTTTGCAACTTATATAAATCAATATTCCAATTACTGTATATAGAGACTACTCTGCACTATTTCTATTATATTATATTATATTTGATTTTATTTACTTGCACTATTATCAGTTGTATTGTGTTGCTCTGTTGGAGGAACCTGTGACCTCAGATGTTCATTGTCATAACTACACTGTAGCTATGAACACATGACAATAAAAGCCTTGAAATTCTTGAAATATGAATTGTTTTTCACTCAAAGTGAATAAGTGTGTGATTATTCTGCATTTAACTGGATGAAGAGGATATCAAGTCCTAGTCATAGATTCCTCTGAAAGATGATCAGTAAACCGTCAGATGCAAAAATAAAGATCTGAAGATATTAGTTTTGTGTACAGTTTAGAAAACAACTTTCATTATATACTCCATCTTCATGTACCTTTGCATTTAGGCTGCAAAACTCAATCATATTTATTGGCAATTCATCCGGCTATTATCTTCAAACAGTCACAAACCCATAGAGATTACATTCTGTAGGAGCCACATGTGAGGTCTCTGTGTTTTTCACTCATGATCGGCAGTGGGATTGTTCACTTAGGGCTGAGTTAGTTTCTTAAAAATACTTATTTTTTATTATCCTTTTATATACATTTTTTTACCTACTTTTCAACTTTTGTTGTTGTTGATTGTTTACGTTTGTACCACATTGACTCTTCAAAGAGACACACATTTAATTGTAATTTCTTAAAGTTATAACTGTGTTACATTTTGTTGTGCATGTCCTGTAACAATACACATCTTTCAAATGCAAATCAAAGATAAGGGAATAAATCACACAGTGGGGTGAAGGGGTGGGATTTGGGGGAATACGTCTTGACGTCTTGAGGGTATGTGAATAAAAAGTTTGATGAATAACAAGTGTGTGAGGCGTTGGAGGTCAGAGAGGGTGTGGGAGAGAACCAGGGTGAGGAGGAGGAGGAGGATGTGGGGGTCAGGAGGCAGAAGCAGATGATACTCTGAGGACTAAGACGGGGGGACAGCTGGTGTCTGATCTGGGGATACATCCTTACATCCTCACCCCTCCTCACCCCTCCTCACCCCCTCTTAGTCCTATTATAAAGACCAACTGACCAAGAGAGGAAACGGAACATCGACAATAAAAGATCCTTAAGGTGTGGAGAAAAGAGGAGAGAGGAAAGGATGAAAAGGTGAAGGATTGAAGGACCTCAAAAAAAGTACAGTACTTGAGTAAATGTACTTAGTTACTTCCCATCTCTGTTGCTAAGTAGGAAAGAGGAAAGGATGTGATGTTAAACATGTTAAGGAAACACGTGAGTTGTCTGACTGAAATGGGGCGAAGCCTGTGAGCTAGTTCAGGCAGTCAACTCGAGCACTTATGCTGCATTCATACATAACGCCCCTTGCCACTCTACAACCAACCAAACAGAGTCTCCTTAATATGCCGCTCTATTTAACCTGCCAGATCTCTCTCCATGCATTGCTTGCTGCTGCTATTGCTGCAGCTACTTCCACGTCGCTGCTGCTTGCCTGCCCCACCACCACCCCACCTTCCACCCCAGCTTCTACCTGTAGGCTCGGGGGGTTAGTTATTTAATCATCACTCATCGTGCTATGTATATCTGTGGAGTGATGAGGCCCGAGCCTAGACGCCAAACTCAACTATATGCTGCTTCTAATAAACATGTTAAAGAAACACGTGAGTTGTCTGACTGAACTTTCATGAAGCACGCTATCTTATCTTTCAACTGGGGCTGCAACTCACAAATATGTTAACCAACGATTAATCTGCCATTAATCATCAGCCCAGTGACGTCACGGACTGATACGGAAATCGTAGTACCGCCGTTTGGCCACTACGAATATTTTCCTCAGAGTCCGGAGCACTTCCTGGGGGCTTGGCTGTGATGGGTTAGGGGTCAAAGGCCATGGTGAACAGGTGAGTTTTTGATGGTGCCTCCTACCTGCCACTCTGTTGTTGACGCGGTTGTGTCTGGACCACAGCCACAGGACGGCGGCTGAGAACGTGTTCACCTCCGACAGACTCTCCGTCGCCATGGTCTGAAAGTGCTCGGCACAATCCCTGCAGCCGAAGAAGCTGTGCACGTAGTTTCTCATCGCACTCAGCACCTCCTGGGGGTCTGGAGGGGAATCACAGGGTATTTTGTTAAGCACCAGTTATAAGGTCACAATGAAGAATGTGGCTTTAAAAGTAAAAAAAAAGATCTTAAACTCCTTCTATTTCCTGATATTGTTACTTTATATGAGTTTGGTTTAATGTCTTTACTAAAAGTGCTGCAGTAATTAGCTACATATTTTTGTAGGCCAACCCCAAAGTAAGCATATCCAGTTCCTTCCACAAAAAGGTGAATGGGATTTTCCCCTAGGATTTTAGATTACCGCAGAAATAAAATCTCATGACTTCACGTCACCACCGCTAAGCTAAAGGCGGCTAATGTTGGGCTATAAAGGAACTACAGCACGGTCACATGACTTCACGTCACCACCGCTAAGCTAAAGGAGGCTAATGTTGGGCTATAAAGGAACTACAGCATGGTCACATGACTTCACGTCACCACCGCTAAGCTAAAGGCGGCTAATGTTGGGCTATAAAGGAACTACAGCACGGTCACATGACTTCATGTCACCACCGCTAAGCTAAAGGTGGCTAATGTTGGGCTATAAAGGAACTACAGCACAGTCACATGACTTCACCTCACCACCGCTAAGCTAAAGGTGGCTAATGTTGGGCTATGAAGGAACTACAGCACGGTCACATGACTTCACGTCACCACCGCTAATCTAAATGGGGCTAATGTTGGGCGTGATTACGTTTAGTCGTCTCATTTAGACACTTGATAGCAACCCTTTAATTCACCAGTGGGGTATTTACTGACGTATTTTATGTCATAGAACAAAACTTTAAAATCTCTTCAGCTCGTGTTAACCACAGACCTTATTTCAGGCATCTATCCAAAACCTATGCAACATTTTACTTTGAGATGAGGGAACCAGAAGGGGCAAATGCTGAATGATCTCAATCCTGCAGCACTCAATATTAGTTAACATTTTTTGAGGAAAAAACAACATGATTAGAAGAGTTCCCATCGATGCCTCATCTCCTGGATTACCTCCTCTCATCAAATAGAAACCAGTCATTATCTCCTATATAAAGCACAATCACCTGCTCTTGTAAATCTGGTGGTTTCTAAAGTGTTCTGTTAACCTGCGCTGTACCATGAAAGCTCATTAAAGCCGCTGAGGGTCCGCAGCTTCCTGGATTCCCACGGTAATGTGGGCCAGGAGTCACTGAGAGCTGGGTTAACCCCATATTGAGATGAATTATCTGTTCCAATGGGATAACCCAATCTGGAGATTAAACTCAGTTAACCCTGTGTGTGAATGGTGGCCATGCTGTTGTCTCAGGGCTGCAACAGTCCACTAACATATTTTCCTTGAGCCGTTTGCTTTTGTTGTGGCTTAGCAGGACTGTAGGGAAAATCCTGAATGTCCTCTTCCAATATCAGACATGATAACAAAGGTATCCCAACTGTAGCTGTGTACATGACAGGATGTATGATTACCTAGAAGAGCATCAGGACTGTTTGAGGCATATGATAGCTATGTGATTAACATGATGATTCAGCCTCTATGGAGATAGACATATGACAAGCATGATCATTTCTGACGTGGAGCTAATCTGAAGTAAACATTGAATACTGCTTTCTATTCCTCCATCTTGTGACTGTGTAACTCCCTCTCTTGGATATCAGCATGTGAAGGACACTGTTCAGGAACTAGTTGATGCTCTGTATGTGATGACTACTTCCATTCTGGAGAGGATCACAGATACATGGATCCTGAGATTGAAGATCAAGCCGGGGACCAGGGAGATCTTTCTAACAAGGACCTTCACATGAACCGAGCTCAAAGTGGGAGTGTGTGTGTGCTCTTTGCGGTAATATGGATGTGTTAAAAGTGTGTTCACACCGTTAATAATGTGTGCAGCATGTGTATATGAATGAATGCTTTATGTGTATGGTCATTTATGTACAGTTTGTGTGTATTTGCACATTAAGCTGGTGGTCTGTGGGGGGCCAGATGGACGCCCCTTTTTTGGCCGGTCCATCTGCAGGTCACATGACGGTCCGTAAACCTCGGGATTAACCTCTGTGTGTGTGTGTGTGTGTGTGTGTGTGTGTGTGTGTGTGTGTGTATGTGCGTGTGCGTGTGTGTGTGTGTGTGTGTGTGTTGAGGGGAGATTAACGTCCCTGCCTCCGGTCTTCTGCCTGTTTTATTAACCACTCACATTCCCCTAATCTAACATAATCCCTTTTCACACAGTCACAATTAGGCTCAATTTGAGCTGTGACAAAATGACAAAACAAGCGGGAAAAAAAAGTGAAAAATAATTATGGTAAAAACATCCTCATGATGTGTGTGTGTGTGTGTGTGTGTGTGTGTGTGTGTGTGTGTGTGTGTGTGTGTGTGATGTGTAAATAAGGTCAGTTTGAAAGAAAAGTAGCAAAGAATCCTGAGCTAATTTGTTTACAAAGCCTCGTCCACCTTTTAACGGCCTTTTAAATAAATAAAAAATCTAATTGTATTTTTTATTTATTATTATTTATTTATTTTAGTATCTGTTTGTGTGTGTGTTTGTGTGTGTGTGTATCTACCTGTGCCTCCTGTGTTCTTGGCCTGGACGGTGAGGACGTGGAACAGGGTCCAGATCCCACAGGGATAGCGTCTCAGGTAGGGAACAGACCCCTGGCAGCCCACCCACCTCTCACCTTCAGGCAGAGCAGTGTCTAAAGACTGAGGAAAACACACACACACACACACACACACACACACACACACACACACACACACACACACACACACACACACACACACACACACACACACACACACACACACACACACACACACACACACACACACACACACACACACACACACACACACACACACACACACACACACACACACACATTAGTGACGGAGGGGAAGAGGGACACAAAGACAAAGCTTAACGGATCAGTGTGGAGCTATTCTGTATTTGTCTGATTGTCAACAACTCCCAAGAAAAGAGCAGCGAGTTGATTCCTATTGTCTGAGTCACCAAAGAGGAGCTGGGGAGGGTCTGCTCTCACGTTTAGTTTCTTTGTTTGTCTGCAGGATTACAGGAAAACTACCGGTTCATGAAACTTAGTGAAAGGATGAAACATGGGAAGAAGCTGTTAAAGGGGCCCTATTATACCCTAGGTTTAAATGGTCTGTGTCTCAGTGTAATCCCAATATGAAAGTAATGTAACCTGATTACTTTCTGTTACTGTTGGATTACCTCAATATCAAACGCAATGCCAATAAATAAAAGGATCAGAAATGATTTTATTTATGGGAAAACCTGTCTTTCATGAAGCATATTCAGCCTATACACCTGGAAAGGGTTATTAACGCCTTTATTACCTCGAGGTTGGATTACTGCAACGCTCTGTACGTGGGTATGGACCAGGCGTCAATTAAACGCCTGCAGCTAGTCCAAAACGCTGCTGCACGTCTTCTTACTGGCCACAAAAAGCGTGACCACATCACCCCAATTCTGGCCTCACTGCACTGGCTTCCAGTTCGGTTCAGAATTGATTTTAAAATCCTTTTATTTGTTTTTAAAGCCCTAAATGGGCTGGCTCCGGCCTATATAGCTGAACTCCTCCAGCGCTACACCCCAGCCAGAGCTTTAAGGTCTGCTGACCAGCTGCTGCTGGTAGTGCCCAAGACCAGGCTCAAAACCCGAGGGCACCGAGCCTTCGCAGCAGCTGGCCCTAGGCTCTGGAACACTCTGCCCCTCCATGTGAGGTCGGCCCAGACCCTAGGGGTTTTTAAATCTACTCTTAAGACACACTTCTTCTCTCTGGCCTTCTAGTTAGAGCGGAGCGCGACTCCTGACTTTAACCCTGTGTTTTTTAAATTTATATATCTGTTGTAATTTATTGTCTTTTATTGTGATTGTAGTAATGTGTTTTTATGATTGTAGTATTTATTACATGTACAGCACTTTGGCCCGACCAAAAATCGCTTTTAAATGTGCTTTATAAATAAACTTTGATTTGATTTGATGATACACCTACACTGAAACCCATGAGCACAGACTACAGTTTAAAAAAGCAGGAATAAAATCTGAGCTGATAGAAAATGCTCCGTTTTAGTTTAACACACACAGTTAAGCACACACACACACTACTTTATGAACATGTAGGTTCACCTGCTGAATTAAAACAGAACAGATGAAGCAAAGAAAGTGAAAACCACAAAGCAGATTCAGGCAGTAGAAGAATAGATTCAGTATTATCCCACAGAACAGCACAGCTCACAGAGAAGAGAGAACAGCTGATCCTTTTACTACAAACACTGTATGCTCTTTTTAGGTTTTTACTAACATTGTAATGCTGCTAGAAATCTACATTTTTAGACAAGTAACAGTAATCTGATTACTTTGTATGTAACTGTAAGGGAATACAGTTACCTTCTATTGTATCCATTACTCCCTTAACTCTGTATACAGCCCACTTTTAGTACCTCTTTATTCCCACAGACAGCGTTGGGAAGTTGGAAAGTATTAACAGAGACGTGAACACATTAACCCTTTTGGCCTTTTCGTGCAATTTGTTGACAATTATAAAAACGCCGGGGCAGCTTTCTCCTTTAAATGAGCCTCTGGAAGTACATCCTCTCTCAACCTGTTCAACTTAATGAAATCGGCTCCTAGTTTTCCTGATCAATAACAAGTCGATGTCAGGTTAATGGCTCAGCGCTCCGCTAATGAACCAAGCTATCCAGATCTCTATCCAGCAGCCACAGTTGAATCCAATAACATATTTTCTCTGACATAAAGTCGTTTCTCTCGCCGCACTGCATCGCCACCGCCGCTGTGATTGACAGGGTTACTCACATGTCAATAGTAAAGATTTGGTGTGTGTGTGTGTGTGTGTGTGTGTGTGTGTGTGTGTGTGTGTGTGTGTGTGTGTGTGTGTGTGTGTGTGTGTGTGTGAGAGTTCATTTCCTCTGAGGCCGAAGTCTATTCATACCTTCCCATTGATCCATTGATTTGCCTGCTAAAAGCTAATGATGTAAGTAAGTGACTCTTTCAATTTGCAGTGGGGGGGGGGGGACTAGAGGCATGCAGGCTGTGGTCCAAAGACAACACACACACACACACACACACACACACACACACACACACACACACACACACACACACACACACACACACACACACACACACACACACACACACACACACACACACACACACACACACACACACACACACACACACACACACACACACACACACACACACACACACACACACACACACGACTGTTGGTGACAATGTATTACTAGTTGCTGCCCAGACCGATTCTGAATCCTATAGACGCCAACAACTACTGTACAAGACAGATTACAAAAGTGCCAGGAATACTTCAACTTTTGACTTCAAAACAATAACAAGTCCACTGCCTCATTGGTCATTCATTTCCTGTTTTAAGTCACATTACCGCACCACTCGATTGTATATTTATCTAAACATCCCAGTGTTGACTCACCTGATCTTTGTTATCCAGCCACTCTCTGAAGGTCTCGTAGGAAATCTCGTTTTCAGTGTGGTTCTGCAGTCGAGTGTTCACAGACTTCAGGAGGTTCATCACCACCAGACGGCCCGGAAAGAACTGCAGAACAACAGAGAACAATGAAAACAGGAGGTACATTTAAGAAATTACAATGAAATAAGTGGCAATTTAGAAGCAGATGAGATGCAAGAAGGAATGAAGCGAATGATATGAGACTAGATATTGTCTTATCCTCAAACAATTGTCCAAATATACACAAACCCTTAAACCCATTGCATTTTGTAGTGGATTGAAACACAGTGACGATACACACACTATTTTTAATGCTGAAAATGTGGGTTGAACTCTCTGAATGTACAAAACAATCACTTGGAATAACTGGACTTTTCTCAACATTGTATATTTTACATTCATAAGTATATCTTATCGTTATGACTTGTTAATGACACATGAAGTTGTTATCATGCACACGCAGAGGTAGGAAGTACAAATACTTTGTTTCTGTACTTAAAGGTGGGGTAGGTAAGTTTGAGAAACCGGCTCGAGATACACTTTTTGTTATATTCCATGGAATGCTCTTAACATCCCGATAGCAATGAATATCTGAAGTGCTTTGACAACAAATCCATAAAGAAATGTCATCTGTGGAAGCCGTAGTACTGTAAAAAGTACGACCAATCATCTGAGCCGGCCCGGCTAAAATAACTGGATGGCCTACCTGCCTGTCAGCCTTCCATCTGTGCACAGACTTATCTCGTGCCCTCATTGGTCATGTGCGCGTTCGTGTGTGTTGGAGGAGGGGCTCTGTAAGGAAGTGGCAGATTTTCTCCGGTTGTGTATTTTCAAATTCTAGCGCACTCGAGCCGGTTTCTCCAAAATTACCTACCCTACCTTTAAGTACATGTTTCTGGTATCAGTACTTTACTCCACTACTTATTTTCCTGACAACTTTTTACTTTGACTTCTTACATTTTGAACACAAATACCTGTACTTTCTACTTCTTACATTTTGAACACAAATACCTGTACTTTCTACTTCTTACATGTTGAACACAAATACCTGTACTTTCTACTTCTTACATGTTGAACACAAATACCTGTACTTTCTACTTCTTACATGTTGAACACAAATACCTGTACTTTCTACTTCTAACATGTTGAACACAAATACCTGTACTTTCTACTTCTTACATTTTGAACACAAATACCTGTACTTTCTACTTCTTACATGTTGAACACAAATACCTGTACTTTCTACTTCTTACATGTTGAACACAAATACCTGTACTTTCTACTTCTAACATGTTGAACACAAATACCTGTACTTTCTACTTCTTACATTTTGAACACAGATACCTGTACTTTCTACTTCTTACATGTTGAACCCAAATACCTGTACTTTCTACTTCTTACATGTTGAACACAGATACCTGTACTTTCTACTTCTTACATGTTGAACCCAAATACCTGTACTTTCTACTTCTTACATGTTGAACACAAATACCTGTACTTTCTACTTCTTACATGTTGAACACAAATACCTGTACTTTCTACTTCTTACATGTTGAACACAAATACCTGTACTTTCTACTTCTTACATTTTGAACACAAATACCTGTACTTTCTACTTCTTACTTGTTGAACCCAAATACCTGTACTTTCTACTTCTCACATTTCCCAAACAGGCTGGTTCCTTTAGTTTGAATGTGTGTTTGGTGGCGTGATCATTATTATTTAGAGTCATTGCGTGCCTATTGATTTGAACACGATCCGTGTATCCATCATTTCCTGGTCTTCTCTAAAGAAGAGGGACCAATGAAAACGTTGTCATGTTGCCGTTGTTCAGCATGGAAACATTCATTAGCTAACAATGACATTATTGTTCTATTAATATAAAGGGAGGTCAGGTACTCTTTAAAACAGCTGCTAGTTATGGGTACTTTTTACTGAAGTACATTTCAAAGCCCTCTTTACTTTGACTTGAGTAAAGAAGTTTAGTCAGTACTTCTACTTTTACCATAGTATTTTTAAACACGAGTATCTGTACTTCTACTTGAGTAAAGTATGTGTGTACATGTTAGCGTAGCCTCGAGCTAACTGCACACAGAAGCTGTGGTTTGAGTGTTTTCCCGGTAGAGAAACTGTGTAAATGTGACAGCAGCCGCACTAAGCCTCAGCCTTCATTAAGATCACTTTCCTTAAGCCACTAACAACCACTTAGCCAGAGTCTCTCTCCTCCTGATGTGTGTTTACATCCTGTCAGAGCTGCACCACCATGGAAACAACCACAACGGAAAGGAAACACCACGCTGAGGAAATCCAGTGTTGACAGAGTGAAGACAGACAGACACACACACACACACACACACACACTGTCTTCACACACAATAGAAACAGCTGATGTCTGAGGAGTAAAGCGCTTTAATGCATTGGGTTAATGTGCCTCCTATTCTTACTGTAAGCCTGTCTGTGCAGCCGTTTATGATAATGATGATAATGGTGGCGTTTCTCAGAAATACAGACGGGCAAACACACGGCGTCCATGGTTACTTCTGTTTACGTCTGCAGATACTGGAACGATCATTTCATTAGTGATCTGTGGATTAATCACTCAGTCTGATTGAAACATTAGAACATGTAACACCTAGATTATACTTGAACTCAACTAGGACACAAGTAAACGTACTTTTGTTGTGTTTATTTATTTAATTTTAACAATATTTAGCAGGTCATTTTATGAGGATTGCCTTTGTTTTACACCCTTCAAACAACAGAGCAAGGTAAAGCATAACTCCTACTATTTCTTTTTAAGTCAGAGTCTAAGTGCATGGGGGTTAAAGGTTTCTATAAAGTGAATCTGAGAATTACAAAAAAAAGAGAGCAGACGGCAGAGAGTTCACGTCATCCAACATGTGATGACACACACACACACACACACACACACACACACACACACACACACACACACACACACACACACACACACACACACACACACACACACACACACACACACACACACACACACACACACACACACACACACACACACACACACACACACACACACACACACACACACACACACACACACACACACACACACACACACACACACACACGTCTGTTCATCACCCTCTAACAGGCTCTGTGTGTTACACCGACCACTTAACCAGACTCACTGATGTGCTTAACCTTTGTCCCCGAGGCCAACGGAGTCCTGCTCCTTAACTCCATGGAGCAACTTTTATCTTTTAGAGAGAACTCTTTAAAGTAGAGACACTACATACTGATATACACCTGAACATCAGCAGGAGAGGACTCTTTAAAGTAGAGACACTACATACTGATATACACCTGGACATCAGCAGGAGAGGACTCTTTAAAGTAGAGACACTACATACTGATATACACCTGAACATCAGCAGGAGGACTCTTTAAAGTAGAGACACTACATACTGATATACACCTGAACATCAACAGGAGAGGACTCTTTAAAGTAGAGACACTACATACTGATATACACCTGAACATCAGCAGGAGAGGACTCTTTAAAGTAGAGACACTACATACTGATATACACCTGAACATCAGCAGGAGAGGACTCTTTAAAGTAGAGACACTACATACTGATATACACCTGAACATCAGCAGGAGGACTCTTTAAAGTAGAGACACTACATACTGATATACACCTGAACATCAACAGGAGAGGACTCTTTAAAGTAGAGACACTACATACTGATATACACCTGAACATCAGCAGGAGAGGACTCTTTAAAGTAGAGACACTACATACTGATATACACCTGAACATCAGCAGGAGAGGACTCTTTAAAGTAGAGACACTACATACTGATATACACCTGAACATCAACAGGAGAGGACTCTTTAAAGTAGAGACACTACATACTGATATACACCTGAACATCAGCAGGAGAGGACTCTTTAAAGTAGAGACACTACATACTGATATACACCTGAACATCAGCAGGAGAGGACTCTTTAAAGTAGAGACACTACATACTGATATACACCTGAACATCAGCAGGAGGACTCTTTAAAGTAGAGACACTACATACTGATATACACCTGAACATCAACAGGAGAGGACTCTTTAAAGTAGAGACACTACATACTGATATACACCTGAACATCAGCAGGAGAGGACTCTTTAAAGTAGAGACACTACATACTGATATACACTTGAACATCAGCAGGAGAGGACTCTTTAAAGTAGAGACACTAAAAAAGAGACATAAAGCATGGAGACATGTCCCAGTAGAGACACTAATCGACTGAATATATCTCAGTAGACTTCACGGAGATGTGCACACACACTAAAGGATGTGTTTGAGGCTCAGACAAAGGCCTCTGTTGCTGCTGGAGAGAGATATAATTGGTTTATGTCTGGATCTGAGGTCCGGATGGCGAGCGCTCAGTAAAGCTCATTAAGAGCCGTATGAATTTAACCAGGAGAGAAACGCAGGTGTTTCCTCACTTAAAGGGTTTACTGCAGCGTCACCACAGCAACAGTATTCATGAGTCGCTCTGTTTCAACAACACGGATTTCTTCTGTTGAACTCTTTGGATTTGATCGTGGATGGAGCACAATGTCAATCAATATGCCAAATATTATCACTGATTTTAAGATGAATTATGTGTCAAAAACTGTGACAGATGATGAAAGAAAGACGGTTGAAGTGACAGCGTACACTTTCAGGTGACTATGGGAGAATATACACTTCATTTAGGAGTGTTAAAGTAGAAAAGTACAACAGCAAACAGTCTCTACAAAACAGTTTCTACATTTGTTAAGAAGATTGCCGTTGCCTTTTACTGAATCAAATAACTTGTCACATAAAAAGCAGCATGTTTGTCACTTTTTACTTCTATGTTTCTATTTTGATCATAATAAGTGTTTCAAAGGGCAAAAAGTGTTTACAAATGATAGTTTTTTACTTGTTTACTATAAGCCTCATCCACTCTCATCCCAAATCCCCTTTACTCTGCTCTTTAAGGATAATTGTGGTATTTAAATGTGATTTTACAATGTTGTTCTTTTGTCTTGATTGATTTGAATCTTGGTTTTGAACTGC